GATGTAAATAAAAGTCGTATATAGTTCATATATTTTTTTATTTATATGACCAACAAACCGCTACATCAACAAAATGAATCACAGGGGCCGAGGTGTTATCTCGTGGCAACTCTACACAACCACAACACTGAACTAACAACTATACACAGATAACAACCCTAAACTACGTACATTTACCTAATAAACATTATAATAAATGACTGCGTAATTGAATATAAGTCAATTATTCCATTTTATTCAGTCTTTAAAATTTTCTAATTAATCAAGAAACATAGATAGAGAGTGTCTTTGAACTGGCAACTCAAAAGTTTGCACAAAATACACAAGAAAACATAACTCCTTCAAAAAAAATCAAATTCAAACAAAAACAGATCTAATTTCCATATAAAAGGAGCATATTTACCAATGTCGATACATTTTTGTGTTACATTTTCTATTAAATTCCCATTTCTATGGTGTTTACTGTTTACAAATTAATCAATTTAAATTTCACACACAAAAGTGTTTCAACTGAGAAAACATTGACATAATTGATTTACACTTTTTACAAAAATAATTTCAAATATACATGGAATTTACAATTAAATTAATCTAGTATTTAAATACAGTTATCTTTCATTTACGAAATCATACAGAAAACATCACAACATAATGTTGAGCCGATTATTAAATTTAAATTCAAGATATCGAACGGAACTTGTTCAAATTGTAACAAATATTATATTTGCGCAAAATTCCAATACCTCCCCCTCTCGCGGGCCCTTGTGCCTAGTCACTCCATAGAGCGTCCACCGAAGCGATCTAAGAACTCAGTGGCTTCCCAATCCGGTAATAATAACGAACTAACGGCTTGTGCCGAGGCGCCTGAGGGAGCCCTCAAGCTTATATGCTTAAAAACGAGGTTTAGGCTAAGCGTCATCTGCGCTCGGCCATCACAAGCCCGGTGAATCTGTAAATCTCTTCAAGGCAGTGGCCATTCAGTCACAAAAAAAACTATATGTGCATGTCAAAACAAACCAAGATTTTAGTCCATAGTTAATTTTTTTATGTAATTTTTTGATTTCCTTTTACATTTATTATCACCAACACTGATTCGTTAGTTAGTTCGTTAGTTATCGTTACGGTATGGACCGTTGACAATACAACTAGTCTTGTAAACTGACAAATTCACATTTTAACGATTACAATTAAACTCTATACACTAGTGATTCTCAACCACTGTGCCGGCAAAATTTGCATATTTTGTCATAAAATATCTAAGCAGTCTGTTGTGGTAAGTACATATTTTTTATTTATTTTTTGTGTGCCACCAAATTTTGAAATCTTTAAATATATGCCGCAACAAAAAAAGGTTACTGTGCCATATACAATAATTTTAAAAATAAAGTCAATCACATGATTACTTTAAAAAAGTGATTTCTTTGAAGACAATTGCAAAACCAGAAAAACACCTGAACTAAGATACTTCCGTTCGAATATCTGATTTAATTATATTTACATTCCATTTTACTGAAGAACACATTAAAAATATTTATACAAATGCAGAAGAGATCATAATTAGGGAAAAACTTATCAAATATATGAACTGACAAGGTCATAATAAAATCTCCACTCGTAAAGGCAATAAACCATTAAAAACACAATGGTCAACTATTACATTTGTGGTTTAGATTTCTTTTTATATTAAAATTACATTAAAAGCTAAATCTAAAATTTGACTACTTCCTTTAAATATATACACGTCTTGATGTGCTTTGTTTTAACTATACTAATACTGAAGAAAATAAAATACATTATGCTCGGTTTACACTTGGCCAGTTACAACGGCCAGTTATAAATTGTATGGAGTCACTGTCGCCAGTTGGCATTCACACTGTGCCAGTTGATTGACAGCACATTTATTGAGGGCCAACCAACTGTACTGGCCTAGTGTGAACCGCGCATTAGTCGTAACATACCAGTAACTTTTTGTATACTAAAATTAGTAGTTTTAACATCAAAACTACTACCACAGATAATTGCTTGGGGAACTCAAAACGTGATTACATGGTTTCAGTGTTTCCCGTTGGGCTGATCGTCGTAACGATCAATAGTAAAATTCCTATTTGAATTGAACGGTAGTGATCGGTCCAACGGGAAAAACCTTACACGATCCTAATTGACTATAAGTACGCCTTCTTGTCTAAAATGTGAGCTAGATAGAAAAAAATTACTTAACCTCTGCCTAATTCATTTCTAGTGATTTCTTCACTTGGAAAAAAAAATATCTTGCCAACATTTTGAATATGGCAAGTTTAAAAATAGATTTATTTGCTATTATATAAAATAGTTATTACATCCACTTGTGTTAAAACTAAAAGACATTATTTCATTTAAAATAACGCTAAAAGTTACAAGGTTTTATTTGAATCCTGTTTTATTTATGTCAGAAAGTATAAAAATTGCCGTTTTATTATTCAAACAAAAAAAAAGGCTATTTGTGAAAAAAAGGCCAAGGTTACTTATGTGCTATTGTTTTTATAAAATGACTAGTTTTCGCCCGCGACTCCGTCCGCGTGTAATTAAAAATCAAAAGTGGGTATCCAATGTCTTATTCCAGACGTCAGTGTCAAATTTCATCGAGATCTGCCCAGCCGTTTAGGCTACAAACTCTAACAAACTTCCATCTTAACTTTCGCCTTTACAATATTGGTAAGATTTCATTCAATAAACAATGAAGATTTTTAATTAATTATAATCTACATTGGGGCTTTCAATATTCTTAAAATCTACAAATACTATCTTTAAAATGACTAAAACACGAATTTCCTATCAATTCTACAATTAAAAAATTTGTAAAACACACAGAACCAATGCTAGGAAACAGCAAAATATTACTGTATATTCAAACAGGGTGACAGAGACAGGGTTACCAAAGTAAGAAAAATAAATCAAAAAATGGATGCAGCAAAAAATACTGACAGTTATAACTAAACTAAATTAATTAAACCTCACCTGCTTTACAGACTTTTAGGAATCAACGTAGGGTTAACAAAACGTTAGACAGGACAGTCTGCGGGAATTAAAAAAGGAATTCTAGAACTCTTTCACACGTAAAAAAGAACAAATTCCGAACAAAACTGATCGAAATAAACAGACCAAAATTAAAAACACAAGGATACATACATCCTGTTAGTATTTTCTATACAAAGTCTGAGGTTTTGCAGAATTTCTCTTTTGATAATTTCGAAATTTTATTGTTACCTACTCCTTCACACACAAATCCATACATACGTAAAAACTTTAAACTCAAAATAAAAATAGTTGAGAAAAGGCGAGGATGGGATAAAGGTATATTCATTCTTGTAGGCGCTTGAGTTGGCACATCGGGCAGACATAAACTCTTATTCCCGACGTGCCAAATCAGACACGTAACCTTGCATTGGTCTGTGTTTGATTTACAAATTAAAATTTTATAATTTTATTTTACGTTTTACTAAATTTTGTTACCGCTGTACACGGCGCGATTTTGACAATAATTTTAAAACCGTTTTTACGCAACAAAAATTAAATTATTGAAAAAAAAAACTAAATCGAACAAAAGATAAATTAAACAAAAAGTTTTGCTTAGTTACAATGACTAGATCAATTCAGGTCACGTTCATTACCTTATTCTTTTTACTTTACACCGTAAACGACAAGAAAACGGCAATTAATAATTTCTTGATTCTTGATGCTGGCAACACCAAATAGGTTTTAAGAAAATATTTTTCAATTAAATTCTTTTTATAAAAAATAACATAATAAAAATAAACTCTGTAGAATATAAAATAATGTTATTCATTCATCATAATTACAATCGAGGTACTGTAAGTAATAAGATTTTTGAAATAAAAATATATCTTCGGAATATCACGTTATCATTCAAAAATGGCTTCTAAATACTAATTTTATTACACATTTACGACTACTTTCTCACTAAATTACCACAAACACGGATCTAACGGAGATAAACGTAGAACTTCATTATTTACGTTAGTACATATTTGTCTCTGTAATATCAAAGTGAGTGAAAGAGACACCGATATTTCTAAACATGTCACAATTTAGTACAATTTTATACACAGATAAGGATATCTGATGCAATGGGCATAGATAAACTAAATATAGCTCACTAGCGCCATTCTGTCAATGTCAAATTGGACATTTTATACTGTAGCTTTTTTTATTCCATTATCTATACCCATGAAGCTTTCTTGGGCAAAATATCCTTATTTGACTATAACTACAAAACAGTCTTAACTGTGTCTAAACTTTCTGTCTACCCACTTTACAATAAAATGCGTGAATATATTTGTTTTTCGCTAAAGTTACATTCCTATTCTAACATCCCTATTTATTTCTACATGTCTTCATAATTTATGCCTTTTCTTAACCTCTATCTAAAAACATTTCAACATTTCTACCGACACTTAAATCTTATGGTTTGATGATGCGTTAAAAGTAAAATTTCACTTAAAATTATAAATTATATACGAGTAATGTTGAAATTAAATCAGAAACAGTTAATTTTAATCAATATGTAAAAAAAAAATTAAAGATACTTTTTCTCAGATCTATTTTAGAAAAAAAATGAGGTCATATATTGCTGGTTTTGCTTCAACATTACGGTATTACTTTTTATCTTAATTTTAACTTAAAACCTTATTAGTGATTGAATTATTGTCTATGGTAATGCAATGTTTTAAAATTCGAACTTATTTAAAATTCTCAAAACAATGATCTTTAAAATAATCTTTGGTGTTCACAATTCTATATTAGAGGCCTTTTACTCTAACTGCCCTACATTAAGGAATTATTTTCTTATTTCTATCAACATCGAAATTAGGTTTATAACCAAAGAGATTCAATAAATATATAGACTAAGCATAGTGAATTTTTCACCGGTAACTTCTCTGACAGGTAATCTGTTGTCAAGTTTAGTACGCCAAGACATTTTACAAAATTATAAAACTTCATCATTTGTTATAAAATAAACTAAATATTGTCACAAAATCAAATACCTAACAATTAAATAAGATACAAATAATATTGACATGTGGTTTCGAGGTTGTCAACAGATGGCGTTATTGATAAAAATGTGTCAAGTGTCAACTATGCTTACTCTATATGTTTATTGAATCTCTTTGGTTATTAACGATGCCTGTAAGATGTTGCGAGTGTGTTGGGGGGAGTTTAGGTGTGTGTGGGGGGAGTGTGTGTGTGGGGGAATGTAGGTGTGTGGGGGAGTGTTGGTGTGTGTGGGAGGGGGAGGGCGGTCACCTGACGCGGCCGGAGGGGGAGCGCAGATGCGAGCGGATGTAGCCGGTGCGGTAGTCCATCGCGTCGCGGTTTCTACCCGACCCCGGCTGGCCGCGCTGACGTCGACGACTCCATCTATCGACAGTAATAAGCCCTTATTCAGACAATAAAAAAATCATACTAATATTATAAATGTCTGTTAGAGTTTGTAGCTAAACGGCTGAACGAATTTCGATGAAATTTGATATAGATGTAGGCGATAGACTGCAAGAACCCATAGGCTAACTTTTGTTTTCTTTTTAATTGCACGCGGACGGAGTCGTGGGCAAAAGCTACTATAATATAAATCTTATGAATCTGTTGTTCTGGACTAAGCACTGCCCGCTACCGCTTTAAAGTCCTTATTAAAAAAAAATGAGTGAATGCTACGGAAACTTTTTATAAAATACACTGGAAAACATTCAAATAAGGATATAACAACAAAATGAGTTTTGGCCATTGAGATTTAAAATTGCCTTTTTTTAGAATTACGTCACATACATTAACTGTATGAGTTTTCCGTAACATTCTGGGTAAGAAGGCTAATTTAATAACACCTCATTTGTCAAAATCAATTCAGTAATATAGGCTCTAAGTCGTCACATACATAAAAACATACATACACGATAAAAATACCCTTTTTGTCAATTATAAACTCACCTGAGCAGTCGCATGATGTAATCAGGCCAGTTGTCGGGGAGCATGACGAGGAAGAAGCCGACCGCGATCAGGATGATGCCAGCCAGCTTCATGCCAGCGAACTGCGCCCCGTACATCACCACGTCCAGCGCTGGAATACAATAGTGATTGTTTATTTAAATTACAGGCGGGTGTCAATATGCGATAAACCAGTTCAAACCGGATAAAGTAACGTATGCTATAATTATAAATGCGAAATTTTGGATGAATGAATGTTAATATGAAAAAGGCTTAACAGATCGCGACCAATAAGGCATAGATAAACATAATCTTGAAGAACACAAATCCAAGTTTTTTTTAATTCCGCACGGACAAAGTCGCGGACAAAACTTAACTTCATATGTTTTAAATTTCACAACCGCGAGTTCAATATGAACAACGTTCATCAATTTTATTTTCCTTAAAAGTAACAGAAAAATATTGTTTGAAGTTAAATTTTACGATTAAATTGTCTCGACATTTACATCGCTATTAAATCAAGGACAAAGATAGATTTTTCATTTTTTTTACGAAAAGTATAACTAATTCCTGCCGCCGAGTTTCGTCATCGGACGACACGACAGACCGCCAGGTACCATCCTCACCATGTTGATGGCTGGCATTCCACAACCGTACGGTTTTTACGGAACTTTCTGCCCGCACATCCGCATTGTGGTCGCATACGACTTAGGGTCCATCAAGAAGCGAGTCTATCATTTCCTCAAAGGCCGGACACGTATCTGTAGTTCCTCTGGTGTTGCGGATGTCCATGGGTGCCATTGACCACCTTTGTGTTCGCGCCGCTCGTTTGCCCACTTCTCATATAAATAAAAAACCCACCTGCAGAAACAGGTACAGCTGTGATGAGGCCGAGTGAGACGAATATATTGTACGTCATGATGTTGCCGAATTGAAACACCAAGTGGAACACTGGAAGACGAAGGATATCTTTTAAAATCGATGAATTTACGACTTTTGGTGACAATTAATATTTATCTATGAAATTATTTTTACTTTTGTTTCAACTTGCCCTTATCCTTAGAGTCGGAACAGTACATACTGCTTTTCATACATCTCTATCCATTATATTTGAATATTCATTTAAATTATTAATGTTGTCCTTTTCACTCTCTTTAATATAACAGAGACAACAATACTAACGTAACTAGTAGAGTTCTACGTTTATCTCCGTTAGATCCGTGTTTGTGGTTGTTTAGTGAGAAAATAGTCGTAAATGTGAAATAAAATAATTAAAAGATATAATACACATGAGTATTTATTAGCCACTTTTAGATATCATGGTATTCCGAATAGATGGATTGTTATCCTTACATTCCTATAGTACAAGATATAAACAATATTGACAGATGCAAAGCAGTACATCCAAGTGGTACCTAGGAGGGCGACGCTGGCCAGCAGGAGGTGCAGCCAGGGCATGCGGTGCGCCGGCAGCAGCTCCGAGCCCGTCAGGTACAGCGCCAGGCAGACCGGCCACAGCAGCAGCGCGTTCACACTGCCCACGATAGAGAAGAACAGGGCGCGCTGCCCAGAGTTCACCTCGCCCATCACTTTTCTAAACAACACCTGTAACACCAAACAAATCACAAATGGGTCGCTTCGCCTGGTAAAATACCCCGACTAGACAAAAGACAGGCGTGAAGCAGGTGCAATTCCGCGTAGTCTGATGGGTGTCCAACTTTAGTCCCTTGTGCTTCCCACCATTTATCTTATAAGAAAAGGGTGTGAAGGGGTTGACGCTGAAAGGGAAAATATCCTCTTTATGTGCGTTTCCTCCTTTTTTTATAACATAAGGTGGCAAACGAGCTACAGACCACCTGAATACGCTAAAATGGCGAAGCGACCGCTGCCCATAGACATCTGCAATTGCAGATGCGTTGCCTACCCTTATCCGACGGAGGAGACGCACATAAAGAGGACATTTCCCCTTCCTATGCATCTCCTCCACCGTCAAATCCACTTCCTCTTCCCATCCTGTCCTTATAAGAAAAGGATGGTAAAGAGTAAGGGACCTAAATTAGGCCAACGGCACCACACTCATTAGACGAAACACGGAATTGCTTCCATTTCACGCCTGTCTTTTGTGTGGTCGTGTAGTAATAACTGGGGTAACAGTAATAACTGGGGGCGTGCCGGCCCTGCAGTGCTAAGATGTTAAAGCGGGCATTACCACCTCCTACGTCGAGTAAGATTATTAAAACCCCCTTGGTAGTCAGCCTCTAGTGCAATAGAAGAGGGTTCCGGGATCTCCGTGTAACTCGTCGGAACAATCAATCGTATCTAGCGTAATTATATCGTGATAGACGTTTATATTCAAATTATTCTTGGTTGAATAACTAAGTCATATCCTAGTTTCTTTTATCAGCGAGGATATATCTTTCTCGAATGTTCTAGACGGGTCCTAAAAGACGAAATTACTTTATATAACCAAGAGACTGACGACGATTACCAAACAAACTAGAACATATTAAATAACTTTGCATTCTAATTCTGTACGGTTTATAAGTAGGAAAGCAATCTTTTTGATTTCGATCAAAATATACATGACATTTCACTTACATTTTAGCTCGTTTAAAATGACCCGTGAAAATAGGTCAAATACCTATATTCAGATCATCAAAAACGATGTTCTGTTTACCTGGTTACATTTTTCTAGCAAATGAGAAATATAACATTTTAATAAAAAGCAATTTGCTAATATAATAATATACAATGATATAAAAGCACATATACTCAACATTCTCCAATATAGACTGAAGTACTCTTGCTATGAGAGGCCTGTCCCGGAACTTACGTAAGTTTTGCAAACAACTTTAGTAAATAACAGTATCATCAGAAGCTTTTATATTATGTTCACCAAATCCAATAATAATTAAAATTCAATTTAAACTTAGCTAATATTCATAACTGTAGTTAATCTCGAATTGTTTTAAACAATGGTAAAGTTCTAACAGTGGTAGTGCCCGCTTTAACACCTTTGCACGAATGGGCCGGCTGTAATACCACGACCACACAGAAGACAGGCGTGAAGTGGAAGCAACTCCGCGTTTCGTCTGATGAGTGTGGTGCCGGAGGCCTAGTTTTAGTCCCTTTTCCTTTCTACCCTTTTCTTAAGAGGAAAGGATAGAAGGGAAAAGTGGATTTGATGGTGGGGGAGACGCATATGGAGGGGAAATGTCCTCTTTATGTGCGTCTCCTCCTCCGTCAACTAAGGGTAGGCAACGCATCTGCAATTGCAGATGTCTATGGGCAGCGGTCGCTTCGCCATTTCGGTGGATTAAGGTGGCCGCTTGCTCGTTTGCCACCTTATATTAAATAAAAAAAGACTATTCCATTCTCTCATAACTTTCGAGATTAAAAATATTTAAACAAAATTGTTGATTCATTGTTAACTTTCGAATAACAAAAAGTCAATTTAATAAAAATAGGGCAACATGTTAAACTGTAATCAGGTAACACGCAATGATTACTGGATAATTATTAGTTTGACCAAATTTACACCCTAATCCTATCGTTTTAAAGCTAACTTTTCATAATTTTTTATAACTCAATGGATTTTTATCATAATTAGAAAATGGAGAAAAAAAAATACGAGTTATATTAATTTAATATTATTTAACCACGATATAGTTTTCGTTTTTAAATATAGAGCTCTTTTACGGCCGTTTAAATTAGGAATGCAAAAAACTTGCATTTGTGATTAAAAAGACGTGAATATACGGAAATACGGAAGAGGGTAATTTTCCTAAATGAAATTTCAATATTTAAAAACGTGCTCTCTTCCATCGCATGATTACTAAAATAAAAGTAATAAAAATGACCTTAACAATATCTTAATATACACGAAAAGTTAAAAACTACAATATTTTAATAGTAAATTAAGGTGACAAGGTCATTAGAAACAATGAACACGTATAAATCAGTAGCAATTGCGTGCAAGAAACATTTCCACATCAATTAAATTAAGGTTCAAAATCATTTTATTAAGTAAAGCACGAAAGTAAGATAAGTCAACCATAGGTAACTTCGAACCCTGATTTTACTTGCCATACATAGTACTTTACATTATTTAAACAAAAAGTAAATAACATTCGAGAACATATAAACATAAAGGAGATGGAGATACGTAGCGGGATTCGAACCCAAGACCTATAGGTTATAAGTCAAGTGCTTAACCCCTTAGCCACCTGATCTTTATTGTTACTTAATAATACAAACATTTATACTACCCTTGCTTTCCTGTGCCAACATATTAAAAACACTACAATTTATTGCATGCGACTCCGTCCGCGTTGATTTAAAAAAACCGAAAGTGAGTAGCCTATGTGTTCTTCCAGACTATCCTTTACATATATACCAAATTTCATCGAGATCCGTTCAGCCGTTTAGGCTACAAACTCTAACAAACATCCATCCATCCATCTAAACTTTCGCATTTATAATATTAGTAAGAAGTATGATATCGCGTAAAACTTACATTTGCTGTCAAAATTCGAATAACAACAAAAGCCTTTGCTATTGGCTAACAAAACCATAGAAAATTTGCTGCTAAGCTGCTATTGGCTGTTAGATTTCATCAATATCTCTCATGATTTTTTTTTCCAATTTATTCATTCCTAATGAAATTGCGTGAAAATATGTCTAGGGTTTTGTTTTTCAAGGTATTATAATCTGTAATTGCTGACATCTACATAACGAAGTACTTTTTATTATAGCAGTATTGATTGAATTACCTTGAATATAGCGAATCCCGCGGCTGCGCATGCGGCGAGGACTACCCCGCCCAGCGTGGAGCTGCCTGTGATGCCGTCCATGTACGCCAGCAGCGCGATGCCAGTGTCGCACAGGATCGCCGCCACTATCTGCACAACATATATACTGAATGATCGATTGAATGAATGAATGAACGAATTACAGAGTGCGCGAATGAATGATTGTACCAACTTTTGAGTTAGACGGTAATGCAGATCACTGGTACCCACTACTGTTCACATTATGCCATTCTAGTTAGGGAGGCCTACTGTCCTAATGCACTGGCCACGTGTAAACTAGACATTATGTTGCTGTATGTACCATTCGTAAATGATGCCCGCGTCTAATTTACATAGTATAATGAACAAGATATTTTGTAAATTAATACAATCTCAAAGGCAGCCAATTAATCCGTAGTTTTTTTAGTTTCTCTAATCTTCTTGTATAAAAGAAAAATCAGAAAAGTTGCAACATTAAACAAGAAACTTAAAAAATAACATTCATTTAGCACAACTTACCCTCACGCCGACGAATTGCTCATGCAGTATCACCCAGGAGAGGAGGTAGATGCAGGAGACGTTGGTGGCAAAGAGTGCGACCACGTCCGTGGCCAGCAGTATCCGCAGTGCGTAGGTATACATGTACACACTGAGCACCCACAGTAGGCAGAACAAGGCGCAGCGGCTCAGGAAACGGGCTAAATACCAAAAATACTTTAAAAGTCTAAAATAATAATTAAAAACCAAATACAGTAGAACCTCAATAACTCAAACCTTGGTAACTTAAAAACCTCCATAACTTCAAAAAATAATATGTTCCCTTCCTATCAGAGCCTAAAACATCTATAACATAGATCCTTGATAACTTAAAATATTTTGTGTTTCCCTTGGACTTCAAGTTATCGAGGTTCCACTGTATATCAAAAATTTATGTACTTATAATACAACTAGCTTTCGTCAGTGACTCCGTCCGTGTAGAATTAATTATAAAATTGAGTAGCCTATGTGTTCTTCCAGACTATCCTCTACATCTACACCAAATTTCATCGAAATCCACTCAGCTGTTTAGGCAACAAACTTTAACAAATATCCATCCATCAAAACTTTTTTATTTATAATATTAGTAAGATTTAGCTAGTAATTGTAAAACATTGTATGTTTAGCGAAACTTTCATTTGTCAACCTTCCTTCCCTTGTTACAAGACATCACAAGAATAAAGTGCATTCTCTAAATTGTAGGCTACATAATAAGTGTATGTTTCCAACAATTTTAATAATCTACCAGAGAATACAGAGTAAAACTAGCTTACCAAATGTAAATCCCTTCTCTTTGAAGTCACTAAAAGCATCAAATACTATATCATGAGCCGATTTGCACTTGTTGTGTATGAGCATTACAATCAGATAGAGCGGGTAGAACAGGATCAGCCAGTTTGTGCAGAACCACGCAGTGAAGAATGGTGCGTTGTACAACTGGTACAATAAATACATATATTAAAACATACAAGAAACATATTAAACAAGCTGTACAATAGATAAGGCTGACAGTCCAATATCTAATTACAAAGAAAATGTATCCAAGAAAAAAGGTTTTTTAAATCAATTACTGAAGGAACATCAGCATTCATGCCAACATAGGCATTCTTTGGCAATTTAAATTTTTGAACCACTAGTTCAATTCCTAAAATATATCAAAAACATAGATTATTTTTGTAAGAAGTACCAAATTGAACACAAAAGATATTAAGAAGTAAAAGATAGTATGAAAAAGCTCAGTCTATTGGCTAAAGTAATTGTTGGCTGAAACCTTCCACAATGATACAATTACCATATAAGATAAGAAAAAAAACTATATCGAAATAACTTACATTTGTTGGGATTTTAGATGTAAAGTTGTATGTGGAAGGGTCTGCGCTCTGCGGTGCATCATGATCCAATGGGTACTCTTGCATGTACATATGTTTTATACAGTGGGTCACCGCAACCCATGCAACTACCAGTATTAAAGTCACACAAAGCCCATAGTATATCTGTAAATAACATTGGTACGTTAAAACTTACGGAATATTTAAATATCTACATAACTCATAAAATAAAATGACTAAAAGAATAATCAACCTTCTTTGCAAATTTCGAACAACATCGCGGGCATCTTTTATCACGTAACTGTCGCTCTTCGTCTTGACTACTTGTCGCTGACTCACTGTAGGCTTGTTGAAGAGAAGGCTGAGTTGTTAAGGGTGGAGCTGATGATATCGAAGTCTGTGGTGTAAGAGGGGCTCGGGGACTGAGAGGTGTTGGTGGTCCATTTGCTCTCTCAACATCACCACTACCTCCCTGCTCCGATTCCACTTCCTCGCTGGTAATTATGACCGAAGGCGCGCGAACTCGTTTCGGATTAAATATTGTAGGGAGATCGCCGTCCCTTGCCATATTTCCACTTTAAAACTTATCACACATTTTTGTATTTCAAATATTGCGGCAATCCTATTATTGACGAAAATTCCATCTTGATAATATTAAATTAATAAGGATATAGAAGAAAACGTAAGATTTATTGCTTATTTAGAGTATGCGAAGTAATATTGTAATAACTATAGTTTACATTATTTATTTATAAAACACACTCCCTAGTTACTATAAAATTACAATGTAAATATTTCTCAATCAGTAATAAACCCATTTTCTTACTAAACTTTCATGAGATTACTGTACTATTGACAATAGAATAAAATTATGAATTGACTCAAATTGACTGATTGTCTTGACTGACGTTAAAGGTAATATTTTGATGCATTGCTATAGCCTTATTGCAAGGTGTTAGGGTATACAATCGCCAGGAAAATTGTTCTTCTGTCCAGCTCCCAAACTCTATGATATCTTTTACTTTTTGGTATTTTCTGTATAATCTTTAGGCACAAAGCACCCACTATATAGATAACATATGGATGAAAATTTTACCTGGTACTTTTCGATTTTAATGTTTATTTGCCAAAATGACCTATGTGCGTTGAGATCCATGGTTAATTAAATTTTTTTACAACGTAACAAAAAACACTGATAAACTGTTAATGACTTACAGAGTGTAATGTGGTACTCTATCAGAAACTTAAATGCTATACGAGTAAACTAAATAGACGCAATAAAAGATGCTTAAGTTTCTTTGAATTATAACTTAAAACGTGGGCAACGTGACCTGAGAGCCTTAGCTGAAACTTGTCTGAAACCTGAAGGAAATAAAATTCTGTGTTGTCTATGATAGTCAAACTATTTTTTAGAGCAGATGGCAGCACATAAAAGTTCACAATTTTATCGCCAGAGGGAGATAATTGGTTAGCCTACTTGAAGCATCCGGGAACCTCGCCATAGTAGTAGACATGGCGGGTATCAACCTGGCTAAATGACGAAATAAATTTTGTTTGCTAATATAAGAACGTGTTAATTTCATAGTAAAAGTGTTGATACTGAAAGACTAATTAAGTTGTATTGGATTAGGACAAAAATGCAGAATGTCGGACAGTCTGAAAACCGAAATATCGATAAGGTGAATGTGCAACTTGATGTGGTAAAATCATCCACTCCTCACAGTTCGGCTTCAAGTCCAGCCAAATCTGAAACCGAAACGTATTCTGGAGTGCCTGCCAAATACATGACGGACTCTTCGGAAAGCGAGGATGATTCTGTATCCGAGGTAAAACGTGTTTTGTTTTTGGCAGAGGCGGTGGCAGTGAGGGACTGTGATTATCTGTACCGCTAAATGCTGCAAGGGACATCTTGTATGTGATTGAGCATACAATTTCTTTTTGTATTGTAACCGTATCAACTCATAACAATATGCCATAATCGGGTCTAGAACGCTATAATGTAGTAATTTTTCGTTATTTCTACGGTTCAAGTGTCTTGCCAAATATTCCGTAAAACGTCAGAAAGTCATAGGTACATACGTTCTACTGAGTAATGCATGAAATTATTTATGTCAGCCGTTCTTGGGCAAATTTTTAACAAAATCTTCGCAATTTTATATCAAGAGCAGCTATGCCGTAAGTCTTTTCATTGTCTATTTGTGTTTTGGACTGGGCACGAATTGCGGTGGCCATGTTTCTTGAATCACATGCACCCAGTCAATGCGAAATACTGAAAATAGTGTTTTATTGCCGATATTTCGATGTGACAGTGTTAATTATATAATATTTCGATGGATACGTTATAATTTCATACAGTAGTATTCCACTCAGTGTCGTCACGCGCGTACAATTTGTGTAAAACTCCCGAAGCGATTCGCGCAAAAATGTTGGTTATTGGCGAATTGCAAGGACCATTGGCAATAAACATTAGCCTTAAGCATGTCCCCAAGCACCACATTGTCAGTGTATCTTATGTTTTTCTCATTGGTGTTATAGATCTTGCTGGCTTGTTTGTGCCTAAGCAGGCCAGACCTGTTGGTAAGTTGAAGAGATTAGTACTGAGTGCCCAAAGCTTCTCCAACACCAATTGCTGTTGCCAACTGATTAATGTTAACCTGCATAATGTGTGTGCAATGGACACTCTCAATATATTTTGTTTTTGTTTTATTATGTTGGATGGTCCTTGTGATTCTAACATACAAATGCTTGAATTTTATTGTTCCTATATTGATATAACTAACACTGTTAACTGGAGTGATTTACTGGCTGTCCATTTCAAGGCTAATTGCAATACATATTTAAACAAAACCTAACCTAATAACCTTTTTGTTCTATCTAAGTTTAAAACCTAAGTTTGCTTATACATAAACATAGGTATGTTAGTCATGTATGATATTTTGTTTGATAAACACAATAAAAATTGTTATTTTTTTGTTAAAACATTGTTTTCCTATTTTGTTGTTTACTTGTGTTTAAAATTATTAATTTGTTTTTGATTTTCTAATTATAGAGAACACTGTAATGTTTTCAATGTTTTACTTTAAAAATCAAACGAAAGTTATGTTAGCTATGTGATATTTAATGTGGATAATGTTTTCCAGCAGGAGATGGAAGAGGAAGCTGGTGCTGCGGAGTCATCTAAGTTCCTACTCTCCCATGATGACCCCGAAAGAGCAGTTGATCCAGAGATGCAGGCTCGGCTTGAAACACTTCTAGAAGTAGCTGGTGAGTGGTTTCTTAATTACAACCTAAAAATTTTCAGTTGTCACAATCCGATGTACCTATCTAGATATCTAGATAGGTACATCGAACTGTAAGTCTAGAGTCTAGACTCTATCCAATATACATATCTAGCCATGCCTGTTCTATGTTTTAGTGTTATTAATTATGGAAAATTAACAAGGTGTAGTGCACAAAGTTATGCAAATATTTATGTAATAATCATAGGAAGGGATTTAAGATAGTTTGTCATTAAAATATGCTTAACCTAAAAGGTACACAAGAGCAATTTTTAAACTTTAATTTCTAACAAATCTTCTCTGCATTAAGAATATTCTATCTTCTCTAATAAATCGTTATTTCAATCATATATCTTGTTACTAATGTTATAAATATGAAAGTTTAGATGGATGGATGTTACTATGTATCTCTAGAACATCTTTACAGACTTTTTTTATTGAAATCTTTCGAATTTGGCATAGGCTACCAAAAACCACTGGGCCAATATTAATGTCAATCAGATGTAATGTTCTGATGGCAAGGAATATTTATGTGTGAAAGAAAAATTTCAACCCCATTAAAATTAAAGCTTATGATGTTATTTTGGAATACATGCAAATTTGCTATTGCATTGGCTTCTTATTTGAATCATAATTAGTATGCACTGATTGGTTACTTTGTCTCTGTTTATATTTTTTTAATTATAAATTGAAGGTCTTAATTAGTGTGATTTGTTTAGATCTCTAGTACGGGAAACCTTACAAATGTTCTACCTTTACTCATGGTAATGGGTTTGTTGGTACAGGCTTTCTTAATAGTGTTTATGTTCAGATTATTTTCTTTTAAAGAGTAAATTTGTTGTTTACATGTATATGCATAGTTATTTGTATATGAAAATTGGCCATGAATGAATTTTATCGTTTATTTTTAACTAGGGTTAGATTATATTCAACTAGCTGTTGCTTGTGTCTTCGTCCGCGTGAAATTAAAAGATAATAACATCATAGCCTATGTTACAGATAAATTGTCTTTCTAATGATAAAAGATTTTTGAAATCGGTCTGGTAGTTTTTGAGTTATTTCAATACATACAAAAATACAAATCTTTCCTCTTTATAATATTAGTATAGATGACTTAAAAATGATTATTATAGTTTATGTTGTTTTACATATTTGACATATAGTTAATGATATATTTTTAAATAAGCTTTGCTGGAAATTGTCTTCAAGCCTAATAGGTTTATAGAACAAAATACATATTTTCTTATGTCTCCTGTCTAGTCCATTCAATGTATTCATAGTAACAAATAGAAATCTAACATTCATGAACACCTTACCGTTGATCATTTAAAATAGGTATTTTCTGATCAAAGAATATCAATTCACTTCTTAACCTGGTTTTTATTGTAATATTTCTGAATACTTTACATAAGATTTATTTCTATAAACTTTTATTATTTAAGTTTAGTTTTTAGAATTATATCAAAAATGATTAGTATTGCAGGAAATCAATATGTCATACTTCATACTAATATTATAAATGCGAAAGGTTTGATGGATGGATGGATGTTTGTTAGAGTTTGTAGCCTAAATGGCTAAACCGATTTCGATGAAATTTGGTATAGATGCAGAGGATAGTCTGGAAGAACACATAGGTTATATAGGAACACAAAGTGAGTACATTTTTCTTTTTTTTTAATTCCACTCGGACGGAGTCGCGGGCGAATGCTAGATTAAAAGTAAATTAGCCAGAATATTTATGCAATAAAACAACAAATACAGGCGAATTAAAAAAAAACAATAAAAAATGGCCTATGTTACTCAGTGATAATATGTAGCTTTTTAATGGTGAAAGAATTTATAAAATTGGCCCAGTATTTTATGAGTAATTTCAATAAATAATATAAAAAAATACAAATCTTTCTGCTTTATAATATTTGTATGTATAGATAATTTACTAGAAATCATTGAGACTTTGGTTTATTGTGTTGCATTTTGTTTTACAATGTTGGTATTGGATGTGATACCAGATAATTATTTTGTTATGTTGAATGCAGTGGATGTACTTGAATATATGCAAAAACTATATCTGTAGTCTGTTGTGGTATAATCTATATTAGGAGGAAATATTGTGAGATATATATGCTCGTTTGTGTATGTACTGATAATGTATGTTTAAATTGAACCATAACTTCGTTAATAAGTTAGGATAGTACTTTGAGATCGATACAATACGATGAAACGCAGAGTCGCTAAATTAATTACGGTTTTTATGGATGTCAGCTGTGGCGTAACGTAACGGTGTAACTACTTGTGGTTAATAGAACTCCCCTCCTTTCCCCCTCTGTACCTCTTTTGTCTCAAACGCTCCATTTCATACTATAGCGTTGTTATTGCCGATTAAAGGACTTTCGATTGACTATCAATGTGTACCTATAGGTAGCTTATTGAAATCTAAAACAGTTTAAAATTCATAATGGAGCTTTTATAAATGCACGGGCACTCTCACACTTCACGTGGCGTCAAACAACAAAATGGGATTTGCATGCGGGGCGCGGGCGGTGTTTGAATTTGAACTCCATGTCGTACGCGAGTCGGGCGAGGTTGCATTGCGCGAGTGACTCGGCTGCAACGTCACTGCTAAGCAGACGCGGTAGTCGATGGCAAACAGAATGCGCCTGTGCCACAAGTTATGAGATACTAGCGAAAAACCAGATAATATTAAAATATTTTTGCCACCTACATCACTCAGACAAACCAACCAACTATAAGTCCTATTATTCGTACTTTCATAATTGTGACTAAAAGGAATGGCAGTATGAAAAAATTAAAGTATTCTTTAGAAATGAAATTGATTAATTGAATCATTGACTTCCTTTTTTCACGGTAATTTAAATTGAAATTAATTTCATGTTTTAATCAAATTTTGTCGTCATATATTTGCGATAGCAGTTGAATGCTGACGTGTTCTTGACGCAACCATGATTGATAATGTAGAAAATTCTTATAAACGTATTATACGTAACGTGGTTTCGCTGATTATGGATTAGCGTCTGTCTTGTATTAAGATAGCTAGAAGCAATTACGTAGTTGGGCAAAGTTAAAAGAAACCTCAACAACAGACGAAAATTAAATCCAATATCTATATTTCTGATTCTAAAATATCGATTAGAACAGGCTTAATAGATTTGACTTTTATTGTTACTCGCTTGCACTCGCTTGTTACCGCTCCCGCTGCCGCCCATGGCTCCGCCCACGCGATAGGTCGTCCACGCTATGCTCTTTGTGGCTTCACTCGGCCTCCGACTCGGACGCGACCAACAGATGTTTCCGTGCTCTTCCGTCATCCACTACTAATAAACATTCAACACTCGTTTCCTCGTGTGATGTATGTGAATTTTGTGAACCAACATCTATTGTGTATACCTTGTCTCGATCCAGCGACGAAATTAAGTAAACAGAGAAACGTCAAATTCTATGGCGTATTACGTTATTTCACTTTATTTAATTTGTGTAAATTTTGAGCCAAAATGAAGTGATGTTGTAAAATAATTGTAGTTAATTTTACATGCTTTGTGAATAAAAATGTTCTAACTGAATGTTTTTGGAGTTTTAGAATTTTCTATTTGTCTATGGTTAACGTATAGGATCGGAACGAGGTATGCTATTGTGTATGTGAGGTTCAAAAATTTTATACGCCCATGTTGCGTACTTGTATCTTAACCCCGCCCGCCTTGAACTTTGAGCTACAATGCATTCACTAGTTTGTCTAAACTGTAAAATCAATAGTTATATCGTAAAATGAGTGCATTGTTCCCTAGAGTCGTAGTGTACAACTATGTAAAGAGCTTTCGACCGCGACTCCGTTCGCGCGGATTTAAAAAAATCGTGCTGATTAAAAAAAATGTTAGGAAGTCTATTTTCTTTTGGACTGTTCTACATCTGTAGTAAATTTCAGCGAAATTCGTTACACCCTTTTGGAGATACGTAATTTCATACAAACTTTCGCATTTACAAACACTTAAAAGGTGATACCTCCTTGCAGACTTGGTATGGCTAGGTTTATTACTTTTTTTATTAATGGATTTATTGAAGACATCAGAAGACCTTTTAGGCTGTTATGTAACTTATTTCATGGTCTCAAGGATTTAACAGAAATATAAAAAAACATTCCCATGATATCTATCGACGAACACAACCGTGGTTTTTGACCGACTTCCCAAAAGGAGTTACTCAATTCGTCTGTATGTTTTTTTGTTTTATATAAAGCCTACATCTAAAGTATTTAACCCCGTCTGGTTTAACCGAAACAGTTCAGTACACTCTGAATGGGGACGAACGTATATGGCTCCATTGACACCGCTCGCTTTAAGATTAAGCTTTAAAAAACGCAATTTCATTATAAGTAATAGCTATTGTTTTTGGTCTCAAATTACTTTTTTTTAGATTATAATTACCAGTTATAAATAACAGCCCAATAGGGTTGAAGTTAGGTTGGTTTTAACTGAAAATTTTGTATTCGTCCCTTTGTCGACAAACAGAAGACATCGTCAGCTTATTAATATTAGTTTCCATAGGTGAGATTCAATTACGAAAACATGTTGTCTCTGTCATTAGCTTCTAAAAACATGAGATATCAATGTTTATGAACGGATTCTTAGGCAGTGGAAAACTACTCTAACAGAGGATAGTGAGGAACAGATTTACCTTTAGCATATTTCGTCGAGTATTGGGCAATTTCTTTATTATATTCTACATCTATACCAAATTTCATGTAAAGTTTCGTATCTATAGATATAACAAAATTGGAATGTCTGTAATATCAAAAGAAAAAATCCAGATTTCGAGAAGATGATGTATTTGCGTTGCTGATAACGATCAATTTTTAAAAATATTTGGTCTATCTATCTGTCCCCAAGGCGCGTTTGTTCCGCGTAACCTACGAAACGACAGGGCCGATTTCGACCGGACTTACACTAAGGAATAGCTCACATAGACGTGCATATT